TATTCTATGATATTTTAAGTAATTATGATTTTAGAAAGTTTTCCCAAGAAATTATGCTTGATCTTTTTACTCGAACAAGAATCCTATCATGCACTTCTACAATAGCAGCAGACAAGAAAGTTGACAGCTATGCGAAGTTTATGCTCAATGGAGGAAAAGCTATGGCAATTGAAGGAAACTTAATTGAAAGAGATGGAGGTTTTGACATATCATTTAAGTTTGAAAGCCCAGGGAATTTTATGATAGAAATATTGGAGACAAAAGAATATGCTGGAGAACCCAGCGATGATGAGAGACAAACATTTACTGAGAAATTCCAACCAATCACCAAACTACTGCAAGAATGCATCAATGAAAGCATGAAGGACTGTGATAAGGCATGCCCTATAATTACAGATATTTTCACTGTCATTTACTTTATGTGGGTGCTCAGAATGGAGGCTGCAAAAGTCTCCTTTGTGGGATTTTTTTACGATATTGTAAACCCTGAAACTGATGATGAAGATGATGAAGATTAAACAACCACTCAGATTCCTCTTTATTTTCTCATTCTCAGTCCCCTCTTTCAGTACACTATAAAGGAAGTCCCAGGAAACTTAAGGAGTTTTCTTTGCAAAATAAAAAGTCAAAAGAAAGCTGTTTTCAATTTTTTTTTTTTTTGAATTTCTCTAAAGAATGATTGTTTGGTCTCAATTCTGTCGATTTTAGATGACGCAAACTCGTCTTACAACTTCGCACTAAATCGCAAACGCTTTCATCAAGTGTCGTCCAAACAACTTGTGGTACTGGCACCTCAAAGTTTTGAAAAGAAAGGCTGAATTCTGAAATTGAATTCTGACCATGGACTATGATGAACACAAAGCACTTACTTTTCACGAAGTGTTGCCTTTAATTCCACATCTCGTCTACCTAGTTCAGTTTGCATTCTCTCCAGTGTTTCTTGTAGTTCGCTGTGAGATGCCATTAAGCTGTCCATTGTTGAAGAAAGCTTTACGTTATTTGCACGAGCCTCATTGAATGATTTCTGCATTACTTCCATCTGTAAAATTCAATATTGTGAATTAGTGTGATTATTAAGCCTTAATGAAGAGCACAGTTGTATTTCCTTACAGTCAGGACCAACCTTTTGTCTGTTGTTTCGTTCCATAGACTCTGTGTGATGCACCAACTTTTCTACTTCTCGTAAAGCTTCTTCACGAGACGACATGACTGTCCTGAGGTCTTCATCTCTGCTGTCAATTCTCAATTGACCCTGAAACCATTAGGGTTTACAGAAAACACTTCTTGAGTCTCTAACAATATTGAAATATTATTTAACATTGTTTGATGAAAACTGTGGCTAGTTTATACCTCTCTGAGTTGGCCTTGGAGAGTCTGCACTTCCAGCTTGTACTTTTGAAGTTCAGAGGAAACCTGGATACAAACTTTATCTATTAGTACTTTTTCTGTTTTACTTCATTTTCAAAGATGCAGATTAGTTTTGATTTCTTGCCTTGTTATATGAATTCTGCATTCCAGTGTTTTCTCTCTTGACTTGCTCAAGTTGCATCTGTGCGTACAAAAGCCATAAAAAMTACATCCTTACATTTAACTTTCACTGGTTTCTASTGCACAAGGAATACAAAGGCTTTGGGTTTTTTGATGTTGTATTCCAAAGGTCAATATATTCATCAATGCTTAAGTCTTTCAAATTATATTACCTTAAAATTATCAGACTTGGACACTTCTTTCTGGAGTTGCTCCACTCTAGACTATAACAGAATTCACCTCTTAGCTAGAGAGAATGCTGATTGTATAAAGCTAATGAATTGCAGTGTATGAAAACATGAATGAATGAAAAAATGCATTTGAACAAGTGAATGAATAGATGGACAAATGAAAGGATCAATGGATGAAATGTGAGATGAATGGATGTATGAATAGTACTTAAACATGTGAATGAATGAATAGATGAAAGAATGGATGATTAAATGAATGAAAGAATGGAAGAATAATTGGACAGAAAACACCCATATATAAACTGATTGACATAAACCATTGTTTTTTTTTTCTTATCATCATTCTACCTGCAAGGTGCCTTTCTCATAAGCCAATTTATTTTTGGTTTCCATCATATCTTTCATTGTGTCCTCAATCTGTTGTTGACTTCTCTGAAGGCAAAGAAAAAGGAAAGAACATTGAATGATAAATACAATACAGTCTAGAATAACCTTTACACGAGTCAAGGTAACTAATGCACTAGAAAGGCAATTATTGCATTCAATATATTCAATGTAATTCAACTGTACTTATAGCTAAAGTTTACTATAATATTCAACATCTCACAGAGTGTTTGACCTCTATCTGTAATTTGAATTTTAACTCAAAGAAAGACCTGTTGGTTCTGCAATTCTAATATTCTGTCCAACTGCTTTTGGCTTTCTTGTTYAAGGATTCCTCTCTTCTGCTGAAGTGTTTCTATCTCAGCCTGTAAAATACATGGATGGCTTAATGGGTACATGTTATTCATATTGAGTTGCCATTCCATTTATCAGTCAATCAATCTGTTCATCAATTGGTCACTCAATCAATCTGTTACCTGTGCTTGTTCAAGCTGTTTAATAATTCGGTCTCTTTCTTGTGTGAATCCAGTCACTGTTTGTTCAATCTTTGAAAAAAAAAGAGAATAAATCAGAAAGATAATCAGGAAACTAAGTATGCTGTGTTTATTATAATATCAATGATAGAAAGAAAGAAAGAAAAATATCATGGGTCCTGGACAATACTTGAGTTCAAAACATCTACACCACCTCATCCAATATCTGTGATTTTTCTTTTAACGCCGTATCTCTTTCTCTAGTGACTTCGTCAATTCGTTCCTCAAGTTCAACCATCTTAAGTCCCTGCATAATAATCCACAAAATTCACATCTTTGATGAGYGCCAGGTTCATTGTATAAAGATGACTACCAAGACTTATAGAATCTRTTAGAAAAGGAGCTTGGTAGCTTGAATGTGAAGTGATATGAAAGAATTCTTAAAATATTTKCTTACTGCTTCTTGCTTTTTGGTGTGTAGCTTGCTTCTTTCTGCTTGGAGTTCTTCGGATAATCTTTTCACCTCAGCTTTAAGGTTTGCCCTGAAAAMAWACTTGTTTTTTKATTACATTCMAAATTACGATAMTATTGATAAGCAGCAAAGCAACAAACCTTTCTCTATCAGCCAATTGCATCTTTGCCTTTTCTTCATGAACCTCTCTAGCAAGTATATTCTTTGCTTCATCTAATGTTCTGTCTTTCTCTGCTAATTTGGCTGCCATTGCTTGTCTTTCCCTTTGAATTGCATCTTTTTGCTGACTTACTAACACYTTATTATCAACTGTAGCAGCTCGTAGCTCCTCACTAGTTCTCTTATGTTCACTTGCTACTTTTTCATGTGAATTCTGTTCAAATGCAGCCATGTTGTTATGACAATATGTGACTATATTATTATGTTCAACAGTTAGAAACCAAATATTGAAATATCATAAGGCAGAGAAAAGTAGCAACACAATTTTAAAATATTTACCTTAAGTTTTTCGTAACTTGTTCTCAAAGATTCAAACTGTTGCCTTAACTCTTTGTTTTCTCTTTTCACGATGTGTAAATCTGATTCCAAATTCTGTTTATCAAAGAAGCAATATATGTTTATAAGGAAGTAATGTAGAAGACTTGATTTTATATTGATTGAAATTGCATATTTTTAAAAATACCTTTTTGTAAGTTGTAAGTGTTTTGATTGTGGCATCTGAATTGGCTAAATAAGATATTAAAATAATTCATATTAATCATTGATTAATCATTATCATATAAGATAATCATTCCCAAAACTAATTATTCTTCCATCCAATCAACCAACCAATCTACCATTCAACCAGCCAATAATCAGTCAATCTATCAAAAAATCAATGCATATTTATTGGCTTATAATATGTAAGTCAATGAATCCCTYAACAATTCAATCAACATAGATCTTTGCCCAACTTAAATAAACCAAGAAATATTCATTTACATGTGTCTTCCTGAAGCTGAGTTGCCATTGTCTCCAACTGCATCCGTAATCTGTGTTCCTCGTTGTATTTCTGCTTTGTAGCAGCACATTCCTTCTTCAGCCCTTCRCATTCCCCAGACAACAGYTGTACCTGGTTCCTCTCAGTATCAACAAGTGTTTCCATGTCATTCACTCTACTCAGTAAAGAGTTGTGTGAATTCTCAAGGCTACTTCTAAGTCCCTTCTCATGCATCAGTTCTTCTTTTAGCTAAGACCATTTTATATAAAAACATTTGGTTATTTTTATGAAAGCACAAGAGTAACAAGTTGATCTAATATTAGTGATGTTAATGAAAGTAACAAATATGATGATGATGATGGTAATATCGATGCATTAGTTCATGGTTGTGACTGAATATTAGAAATGAATGTAAATACTGAACATTGAGATGCTATAGAGACACATACTTCAGTTACTTTCTTATTAAGCTTCTCCTTTATGCCTTTAGATTCTTCCAGCTTTACTTTTGCCTCGGCATTAAACGCATCAGTTTTATTTAAATTTGTTTGGATTCTTTGTAAACTTTCTCTGAGTTCATTTTTCTCATGTAATGCACTCTGTAATTCCTTCCGACATTGCTTCAAATCTTTCTCAAGCGTTCTGATTTCATTATCATAAGCATCTTTAGGAATTGAAGCACTGTTTCCTTGACCTAAGTTGCTAAGTTCTCTCTCTGCTTGTAAACTAACCATTGCTAACTTCATGGATTGAATCGTACTCTCTGCTCTACACACACGCGAAACCATTTGTTCATAGTTCTTTTTCAAAACTTCAACTTGTGGCGATGATGGTAAAGCAGATTTAAATGGAGATATAGGATCAATTCTACCAGAAGCTGTATCTTTCTTCTCGTATTTTTCTTTAGAAAATCCATAATCAGACAGTTGATCAACAAGTTTTTTCGTTTCGTCTTCAGCCATTTGTATTCGTCTTTGCATCACCTCCAACGTGTGATCGGGGGACGAAGTGTTTAAAACAGTAGGAGAGATTACCCGACGATTCATTGTTGTTGATATTTACCGCGTCAGACAGATGTTATAATTTTAAATAAGGTCTTTTCGTTACAATGTTTTGTTGTGGTTTCCTAACCTTGTTGTCCGCCATTTTGGAAATACCGCCAACGGTATGACAACTGTCCAATAAGCATTCACCTGTCATTGTAATACTGCTGAGCCAAATGATCGCCTTCATTTTTTTTTACTTTTTTTTGCTGCTTTTTATTTATCTACTTTTATTATCCACAAAAATCTGTTAAGGCAGAAAAACAATGTTTTCAACATCGATTTATAAGATGTCTCCAACTACAACTTTCTCAACTTTACAAACAAGTGGAACAAGAACAAGTGCAACAAGTGCAATCTCCAGTAAATGACAGCTGTTGACAGGTACAAAGACTATGATGGTACCTCATCAGATAACTTGCATTATATCTAGATTTAACATGAGTTTAATGCAATTGATTCAAGTGTAAAATAGGCTAGTGACTATCCTGCAAAGCTTGATAAAGAGYGAAGCTTTTTAGCTGGATGGGTTGCATTTTAGTKAACAAAGTTATGGATCTCACCAGATACTGTTATCTACTTTATTGATTTTGTATGGATTTTTAAAAAGGATAACTGGATAATCTGGTGGATAGAGCCATGGATAATAAAAGCTTTTATTATCCATGATAGAGCAGTACAGCYTATTTAGAACTGRYCCTTTTYTGGTTTGAAAGATTGAATGTACCCTAATATTTTGTAAGTAATGGTACCAAATACACACTCCAAGAAAGGATTTTGTTTTGGGATCTGGAGGATAATTATGTCTAAGAGAGGATTAGCTGTTTGTCCCT